GGTGAAGATTTTTTTCCCACATTGTGGTTTCTCTTGCTGTGCAGAAGCTTTTTAATAAGAAGAGATCCCACTTGTTGATTGATTGTGCTAGTTCATGGGCAACTGAGGTTTTGTTCATAAAATCTTTTCCTAAACCGATGAGACATATTTTTCTTTAAAGTATAAAAGAATTTTTCATCATCTTTTAAAAAACCATGTATCAAGCATTAATTTTTCAATTAAATGTTTATTCTTAAGTTTAACCCATTTCCCCAAAGTTTATGATCCCAACTTTGTAAACATCACTTTTAAAATGTCTTCATTTTAAACTCATTACAGAGTTGTCCAAAATAACGTATTCATATTTTGAGCCCCAAATTGTGCATCTCTTTTAGTGATGAACATCAAGCCCAATTTGAGCCCTGCTGGCAGGCATTATGACTCACTCACAATATATTGACATTAACTCTAATGTTTCATGCAAACGATGGCCAAGATACAGTCAGACAGAAGAAATGATTTTTTTTTAAGGTTAAATTTCGGATATGACAGCTATGCCTTGTACTAGGCAGTAGCTCCTGGGAGTTTCCCGGTCCGATAGAGGATGGTGGGCATCCTCCTCCTCCCGGCCTGGCCCAACACCCCAGGGACCCGGGTCGCACCACAGCTTCTCAGGAGCGCCCTGGGGTCTGGGCCGAGCGCCAGCACAGGATAGGACCGCGCCGCCAGAGCCCGGAGGCTACCGCCCTCTGCGCCGCGTCACTGGCGCCTGGGCTCACGCGGTGAGCACCTACCACTGGCGGGGAAGAGAAGGGGAGAGGCCAGGTCCCTTCCCCGGCCTGCGGTGCTGCGCGGATAATCCCAGCTAATCCGTTTGGCGCTAAATTTAAAAGCGTTAACCCGAGGGCAGGCTGGTCCCGAAACGAAACTGAATACGCTCATAGGGCGCGTCCTTGCTGCGCCAGTCCCCGAGCGCGCCGCGCCAACTGGAACAAATCCACCGCGCGCCATCTTCGCCCTGCCTTCGCGGATGCCGGGCGTGCGGCGCCGCGCGCGCGGCCCGGAGGAGGAGGGTAGCATGGCCGCGGGCGCGGAGTGCGCGGATGGGGACTGCCCCCGGCAGCACGTGTTCCTGATTCCAGGTAAACACGGCCGCCGGTGCCTGGCAGCGGCGCTCGGGCCTGGCCTGAGAGGGCGCGGAGCTGCGGGATGGGACTGTGTCGGGGCGGACTCCACCTGCGGCCCTGCACTCAGCTGCCTGGGTTCCCTGCCTCGAAGATCTGGGGTCGGGTCTCTACGGGACTGCCAAACCCAAATTCTGGTCACGTGTCCTAGCCCACGGAGGTTTCCAAACCCGGAAGCACCAAAAGGGACCGGCTCTGACCCCCTAGGGGATCGGGTGCGCTGAGAGAGTCCCCAAGGTTTGTGCCTTTGTGGGTAACGTGGTGTTCCCCATTGGGCAACGATTCCAGTGTCAGATCTGTTGGATCGGCACCAAGGATCCTGTGGGCCCTAAGTGGTCTTGGAGACTGCTCAGTGTTAATATAACCCCTCCCCTGCGACCAGCCTGGAATGGCCTGGCAGGAGAGGGGGGACGCTACTTAGTGGCGGTTAGCCCAAGGCTGGTTCAAAGCCCGGGAAGATAATGACGGCAGGACTTCCAGAGCCAGGGCTTCGGCCTCCCTGTGGATGGTAACCACAGAGGGGACAGTGGACAGTGGGTGCCACATAGTGGTGCCATTAAGTGGCAGAGTAAAAGAAGTTTGGGCCAGGGCGCACAAGTCAAAATGGTTGGCTGTTTTATAGATGATACATTTAAGAGTGTAACATTGAAAAGGGGAAAATAACCTGTTCACTGTATTTAGTTTTGAGATTTAGCCCAGCAAATGCAGAATATTTTTGGAGTAAATATACTCTGACATACAGTTTACCTATTAATCCAGGTTTTTATAGTGCTTATTGAAAATTGTTACATGGCAGTCTCAAGACTTTTTTTTTTGCATGTATGCTTAGCGCCCCTCTCCTTTTTGTGAGGAATTACACATGCATGAAAATACTGATTTTAAGTGTGCAACTGACTCAGCTTTTCATATATCATGTCAGGGTCAAAAAAACTTTCTGGGCCGGAGATTTAGCTCAGTGGTTACGCCACCTGCCTTGCAAGCCTAAGGACCCAGGTTCAATCCCTGGTACCAAAAAAAAAAAAAA